CCAGTCCTGCTTCTGTCACTCCCTTTGAAAATCTTCCCCAATAAACCATCTGTATATAAGTTTCAATCTCAGAGTTTGTTTCCAGCTTAAGATATTTCCCAAACTCAACTTGGATACTGCATTCCCCTCTTACCTGACTCTGACTCCATTTTTGCCCTTCTCCACACTAGATCCAAAGCAATCTTTTAAAATCATCTGATCATGTCACGTCTCCACTGAAAACTCTTCAGTAGCCTCTCATTGCTCTTATTTATTTATTTTTTATTTATTTTTAAAGCTTATATTTACTTACTTTTAGAGAGGAGGGAGGGAGCGAGAAAGAGAGGGAGAGAAACATGCAAGAGATACATTGATTGGGTGCCGCTCACACACACCCAGTTGGGGATCTGGCCCACAACCCAGGCATGTGCCCTGACTGGGTATCGAACTGATGACCTTTCGATTCACAGGTCGGCACTCAATCCACCGAGCCACACCAGCCAGGGCAATATTTATTTATTTATTTATTTAGAGAATTTTTATAAGAATTTATTTGATCCAAATTGATGATGAATACCAGGGAGCAAGATCTCAAATGCTCCCAGCTTCTCACTGCTCTTAGAATAAAGCCCACATCCGAACCGTGGCCTAGAAGGTTCTGCATAATCTGGCACCAGCAGGCCTCCAGCCTCGCCTACCACCATTCTTCTCACCTTTTCTGGTTTCTACTCTTTGGCCCCATTGGTCTTTTTCAGTCTCTTGAACACATCCACCTCTTTCCTGACCAGGGCCTTTGCATATATCCTCCCCACAGCTTGCAACCCCTGCCTTCTCCACACGTCCACGAGTGGTCACTTTCCACTCACCTGATCAGTCTCGGTCTAACGTGACAGTCTTAAGCAAGCTGTCCCCACTATGCCACCCCATCCCGTGCGCCCACATTAGATTAGGTCTTCATGGAATAAATCTCACAGCACCCTGCTCTTCTCCTTCACAGCACTCACCTCAGTCACAACGGTCTGTTTTCAGGTGGGCCTGCATCCTTAACATGTTGGGCCTGGGGCAAGAGTGCAGATAGAGGCTCACAAACCTTGTGTTTAAATATTTAAAATGAATTAACTCAAGCTAACAAACTGTTAAATATGTTCTATACTTCTTCCTTGGCAAATATATATGTAATGGTCTGGAATTTGGTTCAGATTTAGATTTTATTTGGTGTCCTCAGGATTTGACAGTACAATGTGGTGGTGTGGGAAGAGCCAACTTTTGGCCACTGGCCCTCAGGCCCACCTCTTTCCCACACCTGACGCCACCTTGTACTGCGAGGGGCACCTTGTAGGGCGAATAGCCACCCCTTGGCCACCTGTTGTGTCTAGGGATGTGTATACAGGTAGTATGGTCTACCCCTGGGTGGGCAAACCCAGGGAAGAGGTCCATTTGGGCCCTAGAAATGGGATTGGGGTCCTCTAGGCAGGGAATTCCTGGGTATCTGGAGTGTGGTCCAGAAGAGGATTGGGAGTGTGGGTACAGGAGGCTTGGATACCTCACTCCATGGGACACAGCGGGAACAGGACCAGAATGGAACCTCTCAAAGCACAGGGCCCAAGGTAGGGGCCACCAATATAATGATGTTTTGTCACTCTGTAAGCTCCAGGAAGGCAGGACTGGTATCAGTCTGATTTACTGAGGTCCACTTAATGCTTAGCACAGTGCCTGAGGTGGAGTAGGTGTTTAACAATATTCATCAAATGAGAATGTAAGAGGTAGGTCGTGAAGAGAGGTGAGGGTTTGGATCCATTACTGAAGATCTTAGATACCAAAAACCAGAACTAGGAATGAGAATACATCTTACAGGGCTCCAGAAATGGCTGCAGGACAGAGGAGACAGTGACAGCAACCCAGATCTGTCATCCCAGCTCATTACCGGCTCTGTCTCTTCTCTTGTCCTTCCTCTTTGTTTTCTCCTCCACCGCTCCAGGCTCTTTGCCTGCTTGGCCCTCTTTCTCTCAATCCATATCTTTCTACCTTTTGGTCTTTTGGCCACTGCTCTTCATTTGTGACCTGACCATCTACCTGTTGTGCTTCTGTATTTGTTTTATTTCTTGGCCCTCAATCATATTTTCCTTTGATTCTTTCTTCTACTACCTTTGCTGTTCTAGTCCTTTGCTCCCATCACTTGTTACTCTTAGTCCCTCCTTGGCCTCCTCCCAAAAGCTTTCCTCTCCCTTTTAGTTCCCCATGGCCCTCTGCCCATCTCTTCCATGTGCCTATGTCCCCTTGTCTCCCTCAGTCCAGATCCCTGGGGAGCCCCTGACTTGTTCTGCTCTCTGTCCCAGGTCTGTACCCACTGCCTCCTGGGCTAAGTATTTCTGTATCCCTTCCTCTGTTCTGTCATTCCTAGAGTCCACCTGGCTTCATCTTTTTCATCCCCATGGTGTTTTTTTTTTAAAGATTTTATTTATTTTCAGAAAGAGGGGAAGGGTGGGAGAAAGAGAGGGTTAGAAACATCAACATGTGGCTACCTCTTAGGTGCCCCTTACTGGGGACCTGGTCTGCAACCCAGGCATGTGCCAGGACCAGGAATTGAACCTCGACCCCCTGGTTTGCAGGCTGGCACCCAATCTACTGAGCCACACCAGCCAGGGCTTCATCCCCATGTTTTTTGTCCCCAGATGTCCTTGAGCCGGTTAGTGTCAGCATGCATCCCTTCCTTTCCCCACAGAGGGCCCATTAACCACCTCCTGGGTCCCTAATGGTGGCCACAGCCTCCCCTTTCCTTGTCCTTCGTCCTTTTCCCTGGCCCAGCCCTCAGTTCCCAGACTCCTTTCCCTGGTCAGTGGCACCTGGGCTGAGCCCCCAGCAGCTCATCCTGCCTGAGTGTATTTAGTCTGGCTCTGTTAGCCCATTAGTAGCTTAGCCCTCCCACCTCTCCTCTGAGCCCTCCAGTAAACAAGAGGATCAGTGCAGACCTGACAGCTGCTGGCGGTGGGGAGTGGGGCAAGTGTCTGGCCACGACAGAGCAGGCATAAAAAAAAGGGGGCTACATTCAGCCCTTCTTATTCCTTCTTCAACCAGGGAAATTCTGGGGTCTCTTTCTTGCCTTAGAGCCATATACCATGGGCATGTGTATGGGGTTCTCTGTCTCTACGATCCCTACTTCCATTCTGTGGCTTAGTTGTCAGGCCCTGGGCTTTTTGGGTCTTCTACAAAACAGCACTAGATCCAGGAAATGGCACTGGGAAGCCTTTCTTCTTGGAGAATGGTCATGGTTTCTGTGCCACAAAATGGGGGCCAGGTGTGGGAAGAGAAAGTTGTCATCTGATCTAAGTCTTCTTATATGTATGTAGAGAACATGGCAGGGGAGACCACACACAAACACTCATGCACCAAGGGAAGCTGAGTTCATTGTACGCATTCTGTAGGCCAGTGGTTCTCAAACTTTTGTGTTCATCAGAATTGCCCAGAGTGCTTATTAAAACACAGATATGTATTTTTTGGCTCCATCCCCAGAGTTTCTGATTCAGCAGATTTGAGGCGAGGTGAGAGAATTTGGATTCTAACAAGCTCCCAGGTGATGCTGCTGATCTGGGGACCACACTTTCAGAACCACTGTCTTAAATCATATGAATCTCCCACCTGTTCACCTAAGGCTGGGACTAAGGCTGGGTTAATTTTAATTTTAATTTTAAAAAAGATTTTATTTCTTTGTTTTTAGAGACAGGGGAAGAGAGGGAGAAAGAGAGAGAGAGAAACATGGTGTGTAAGAGATACATCGATCAGTTGCCTTTCTCATGCTCCCTACTGGAGACCTGGCATGCCAGGCCTGTGCCCTGGCTGGGAATCAAACCCGCAGCCTTTCAGTTCACAGGCTGGCACTCAATCCACTGAACCACTCCAGCCAGGGCATTTTTTTTTTTGATTTTATTTATTTATTTAGGTTAATTTTTATAAATGATGATCATTGGGGCTGATGGACACCCACGTCTCTCTCTGGGCTGGGAAAGAGCATCTGTTAACTCCATGGGAGGGTTTGGGTGTCCTCAGAAGGCAACGAATAGCCCTTAGCTCTTGGAGTTCTGTTCCAATCCAGACCCTATTTAAACAGCTTCAGACAGGTTTAAACATCTCCCTGGCTAATTCCTAGTATCCCTGTTTCAACTTCTGCTCAGGGATGATAGCTCTAAGAGGTGTTAGGGGATTAGGCTGAAAATGTAGGTCATCCACCAGCCATCTGGGAACCAAGACGAGTGAGAGGGGAAGAGAGTGGGACAGAGATATACACAGGGAAGAGAGGAGAGGAAGCAGAGGGCGTATGAGGGCATTTACAAAAGTCTCAGATGGATTGGTGATGATTAGATTCCAGTGTCTCACGGTGGCCTAGAAGGAAGTGGGCAGGATTTCCCTTTCTCCCTTTTCCTGCTCCTTCGCCTACGCTGGGAGGCCTGTTCTGGGGCTCAGTCAGCATGACTGGGAGAGACTGAGATTGGATGGTCAAGTCCTGGAGATTCCTCATGGAGAAGATGGCTTCTCTTTCTGTTGTGATAGCTGTTAGGATCATGAGGCCAGACACAGTGGGGGTGAGGCAGGGGGCAGAAATGTGAGGATTCTTGAAAGCAGGGGACACACAACAGCCCAGGTGAGAGTGGGTTTGAGAGAGCTTGTACTCCCCAGAAACAGTGACAAGGGGCTGCGGAGCCTGGGAGTGTGAGGGCCCTGGGAGCTTGTCTGGCTCTCTCTTCGGCCCCACACTTTCAGTCACCAAGTGCTGAGGGCTGTGTTCACATGAGGGTGGTTGTCTGTACCAGGGATCTGAGTACTTGTGTCGTCAGGCCATCAGTGAGGAGCTTTGTTGGGGAAGATGTCTTCTTCCCTTCCTTGAGAAGAGGCATACTTGTCTTCTCCTTTTGTCCCCCCCCCCCCCGCACCCCACCCCCAGGCCAATGAGATAGGCAAATGATCCCCTTACCTCATTGGCTGAAGGCCTAAGGACCACAGATGATCTCAGAGAGCTATCCCTTTAAGAGTGCCCTGTGGGCTCTGCGCCCACAGCCCCCTGGTTCTGAGCTTGAAGGCACCAAGCTCAATGGGGCCTCCAGCCTTTGGGGAAGCTCTGCCTGCCTGGCTCTGACTCTCTGCTATTCCTTGAGTGAGTAAGCCCTGGGCCTTCCTGGGTGCTGGGCCTCTAACCTAGAGCCCCCCTCCCCCAAAACCAGCCGTCTGCTGTTGTCTGTTTTCGGGAATCCTCACTCTTCTGTCCCCTGCCCCACTCCCACCTGTACTGGCTTTATACCCCTCTCTGCTCTCACATCAGAAAGATAAACAAGCCTCTCACTTATCTTCTCATCTAATTCTGTATGGACACCTCTCAGAGTCTCACCATCTTCTCTCTGCCAAGGACCAGTCCCTTCAATCTGTGTCTTTGTTCCTATCTCCCCTGCCTCACAAGGGTGAGGAGTTTAATAGATAGGGCAACAACCCTTCCCTGGGACAGGAAGAGAGGCCTTGTCCTTCCTCCTGCCTCTTCGGGCAGAGCCTGGGGGTCTGAGATGTGGTTGGAAAGGGGGATACCTAGGTTTGGGCATCAAGATAGAGCCAAACTCTAAGCTTTGGGGATGAGCACTTCCTGCTTTGTCCCTCCTGGGGCTTCGGGTGCAGCTGCTGGAACTGAGACCTGAGCTAGGGTTTGGGACTTCCAGGCTGGGAAGACTCTCTGTCATCTAGCTAGAGATTCCTCAGGTGAGTCCATGCTCCATGGTTGATAACAGGGAGGTGAGTTCCTGGGGGTGGAAGTTTGAGTTTGGTACGTTCTGTGTTGAAGTTGAACAGATAATTTACTGAAGGACTTCTTAGATTAATAGGCTGCTGTGTTTTGTGAGTGTGCAAGAGGTGGGGATGGGAGGCAGCATTTCTCAAAGTTTTCTGAGCACACACCTTTCCTCGGGTGTTTCTCACTTAGTGTTTCACAGATCACTCTTTGGGGAATGATAAAGTCTAACTCCCTTCATCAAACAGAAGGGGAAATGGGGGACAGAAAGGGGGAGGTGATCTGCTTAAGGTCAGACAACATAGGGGGTTCTGAATGGAAGGAGGAAAACCCACCCTGGACCGTTTCCTGTGGAGAGGTTGACCTTGAGGAAAGAAGGTCACCACTCAGTCCTGATCTTTTTAAAACTGATTCTAGGATCTTTCTTTTTTTCCTTGCAAAGTCTCTCACTCCTATAAAAGGAATTCATTGGTTGATAACCATAGAACAGATGTGCAGTAAGGATCTTCTATATGCAAGGCATTGTCTTGGGTGCTCTGAGAGACAGAGAGGTATAATAGCATGTTATCCTTAGACATATATTAAAATTCATAGCATACATTCTTCCCATTGTCCAAAAATATACACATTCGCTGTCACAGTTAATTAAACAAAATTTTTTAATTGCTTGGAAATGGAATGATGCCTCTTGAGATGACAGAGCATCTCAGGGTGTTCCAGCATTAGAGTTGGAACACTGCCATATTCCCCCTGTTTTTCATAGATCTGAGGCACCAGTGAGGCCAGAGGCTTTGCTATCCTCTTCCTCACTCAGGGTTTTAAGCTGCTTGCCCCCAGTCAGGAGCCCCCACCACCTGAAAAATTGGCCCCCAGCCTGGAGGTGATGTGCAGGAAATAGGGCTGCACCAACACTCCAGCTTTCCAGAATTGGGGCTCCAGGGCACTTGGGCTTTGGGGAAGTAGGTGTGGTGAAGAAGGCTGGCAGGCGGCCTCCAGGGCTCCAAGTATCCTCTTTTTTTGCAGGTGTGTCCCTCCTGACCCAGCCCCAGAATGGCACTGCCTCCCAGCCCCTTGGCCATGGAATATGTCAATGACTTTGACTTAATGAAGTTTGAGGTAAAGCGAGAACCTTCAGAGGGGCCATCTGGCCCCCTCACAGCCTCACTGGGCTCCACACCTTACAGCTCAGTGCCACCTTCACCCACCTTCAGTGAGCCGGGCATGGTGGGGGCCACTGAGGGATCCCGGCCAGGCCTTGAGGAGCTGTACTGGATGGCCACCCTGCAGCAGCAGCTGGGGGCTGGGGAGGCCCTGGGGCTGAGTCCTGAGGAGGCAGTGGAGCTGCTGCAGAGTCAGAGCCCAGCCCCTGTTGAGGGGCCCCACAGCTACTACCCAGGGAGCCCAGAGGAGGCAGGAGCCCAGCATATCCAGGTGAGTAATCAGTGAGCTGGTCTGAGAGGAGGCAGGGTGAGGGAAAGAGTTCCTGGATGGGAAGAGACAGAGGGCAGGAAAAGGGAAGAAGGGTCCTTAAAAGAAATCATATAGAGAAAACAACATTCTACTCTGTCCCCTCCTTTTTTTTTTTTTAAGTGGAGAGAAATGAGTATGCTAACTTTGGAGGGAGAGAAAGAAGGCTAGAAGAGGAAAGAAAAAGGAGAGTTGAGAATTAAAAAGTGTAGGGGAGCAGGCCATGGTGGGGAGGTAAATAGATTCGCCATGCGTGGGAAACAGGGAAAGAGTTGTGCATGGATAGAGTGGAGTTAAAACTGTGGGAACGATAATGAAGTTGGCCTTTGAAGACTTCGTGCTTCTCCAGCCCCCAACCTTCTCAGAAAGGATTGGGATTCATCCTATTAATTACAGACACAGATGGGGGTGTTGAAGGCATTAGGATGTAATCCAAATCCTTTGAGGGTCACAGGGTTGCAGCTTTCAGGACAGGAGAGCCAGGTGCGCTGGAAAAGCGGGGTTTATGTAGGCGCTGGTCCACTGGAGACATTTGGGTCAGGAGCGGGATGCTAATTGACCACTGGGGTCGCGCGCAGTTCAGGTGCGGGACTAGCTCTCGGGACAGTGGGAGGTGGGCGGGGCCTGCAGCGCAGGGCGGGTCCAGAGGGGCGTGAGTCCCACGGCAAAGGCCCAGGGGGACCCGAAAGTGTTGAAACCTGGGGCGGGGTCGGGACAGGGAGATGGAGTCAGGGGAAAAGTGAGAGTTCCAGTGATGTAGAGAGCCGGAGGCGGGGCCTTCCCAGGGGGCGGGGCCAGCCTGACGGGAAACCTGAGTGAGGAGCGAGGCAGGACCCAGTCCTGACCAGGTCTATATCTGCTTCATCTGCAGCTGGCGGAGCGTTTTTCCGACGCCGCGCTGGTGTCGATGTCTGTGCGGGAGTTAAACCGACAGCTGCGGGGCTGCGGGCGCGACGAGGCGCTGCGGCTGAAGCAGAGGCGCCGCACGCTGAAGAACCGTGGGTACGCGCAGGCCTGTCGCTCCAAGAGGTTGCAGCAGCGGCGCGGGCTGGAGGCAGAGCGCGCCCGCCTGGCCGCCCAGCTGGACGCGCTGCGGGCCGAGGTGGCCCGCCTGGCCAGGGAGCGTGATCTCTACAAGGCTCGTTGTGACAGGCTGTCCTCCAGCGTTCCTGGGTCTGGGGACCACTCCCACTTCTTCATCTGAGCCACTGGGGGCCGCGGAGTGGTGGAAGAGGTGGGTGGGAGGCACCATCCGGGAGGCAGCTGTACCATTCACTGGATGGTTACTGAGCACCTTCTGGTGCCAGACACTCCTTTGTATGACCACAGCAATAATCCCAAACTTCCTGGACCCTCAAGGCATGCTCCGAAGTTAGGTGATGGTCATTTTCTGGGAGAGGGTTTCCAGCCCCTCTGGCAAGCCATGCACAGAAACCCTCCACCTTCTGCCCACATCCACATGACTAGGATACTGAGATCTGCAGGAGCCAGTGCCAGGCACTGTTTGTGTGTGTGTGGGTAGGGGGGCGTGGATGATGGCTGGGTGACAGTGTGTGGGAGGTGAGGGAGTGGTGCAGCTTCCCCCTCAGTTTAGATTTTAATTCAAGGCTTTCAACCTGTAGCACAATAAGCAATAAGGCTGTATTTTCATTCTGTAACCTCCCCATTTAGGATTATTGCATTTTCAAGATTTTAATTTCCAATAACTAGGAAATTTATCCGAGAGGCTTTCCTTCTCTGCCCAACCCAGTGGCCTCCAGGGCCCAGAGTTGCAAAGGCCTGAGGAGCTCTGGAGGTGGTTAGTGTGGGCTGGGAGAGAACCGTGGGCAGGAGTCTGGAGACCTGGGGGCTAGTCCCAGTTCTGCCACAAGATACCTCTGTAATCTTGAGCAAATTGTTTGCTCCCTGGGTCTTGGTTACCTCATCTAAACCTCATTTGGATTGGATGATTTCTGACACCTCTCCAGTTCTGGCATCTCGTTAGTGTGGGAGTCCAATGGTCTCCCCAAGACAACCTCACCAAAGGGAGTTCCTGTTCTGCTCCAGCTTCCTGGCTGCAGCCTTGGCAGTGGATGAGTCCCGGCTGCCTTGGCCTCCAGATCTGATAAGGTGATCCTGCTATCTCCTGCCTTTCTGAGGCTGAAGCGAGACTTTCCCCAGCATGACAAGGAGCTAAGAGAACACAGCTTTTGTGAATTAAACTTGAAGTCTGGGCAGAAATTTATGCTATTGGCTAATGTTTTTGCAGTTTAAGAGGTGTTCATTTTTTATCCTTGATCCAGACTTGTGTGTGTGTGTGTGTGTGTGTGTGTGAGAGAGAGAGAGAGAGAGAGAGAGAGAGAGAGAGAGAGAGAGAGAGAGAAAGAGAGAGAGAGAGCAACTGGGAAGCCCCCTGACTGGGTCGAGTGGTGCCTTTCAGTTCTGAAGGCCTAATAAAAATGGGGTGGAGGGGTGGAGATTGGGCCAGATGGAGACTCCCTCTCCCACCACCACTGGACAGAAGCCCAGGAGCATCAGTGACAGGGCCAGGCCTGTTTATAGCTATCCTGAGGCCTTAGAGTTGCCATGGTAATCCAGCCCTCTGCTTCAGCAGCCTATGGTGGGAGTGGGTGGGGAATCTGGGCAGATCAGAGGCATTGAACTAGGAGCAGCAACCTCATCAGGTACTCTAAGGGACATAATAAATGGGAGAATCAATTGGGTGTGGGAGAAGAGGCTCCCATATGTCTCTCTTCCTTTCTGGCCGCTCTATCCACCCCCTCTCCAGCTGCTTCTTCCCATTCCAGTTCTTGTCCCTTCCTTCCCCTCCTCTAGCCCAGGCTTGTCCCTCCTCCACTCAGGAGCCTGCAGTGGGAGGCCTCTCTTCCATCGCCCCCACCCTCAAGGAGTTCTTTCTCTTCCCCTTTCCTTTTCCCACCACTGGCTATTGGCCATTGGCTATTGACTACTGGCTACTCACTCTGGCTGTGTCTGGCTCCTGGCACCTTTAGCCTCTCCTCCTGCATCCCCTTCCACACACATCATTGAAGGGAGAGGCTGGGACAGGGAGGGTCCCTTTAGGAGCCCAGTTCTTCCTTCACTCTGGATCTCACAAGGGTCTCATCTGCTCTTTGGAGCTGCAATTCAGACCCACTACTGTTCTTGCACACTTTACTTGATTGAGGCTGAGGCATATACACACAGGTAGAGACACCCATCCACAGGTCATGCACTCATACACACAGTCAGGCCACAGATAAATATTGGGTCACAAGATGATGGCCACACAGATACATCCCACACAGAAGTAGCACGAAGTTCCAGGCCTACCGCTTCTTCTTTAGCCAAACAGTATGTGCTGCTATTAATGTTATTAAGAGTACACAGCTGGACTTCCTGAACCACGAAGGCCACACCCATGGAGAATCAGGGATGTGCAGTGCACAAACACACACACACATTTACACACCAGGAAAACCAGGCAGCTCAGACCTTAAATGCCCCCTTTGTATTCACAATTCACTAGCAGACCCGCTGCCCTCCTTCAGTCCCCACACACCCCTTCTGGGCCCCACTCCACAGCTGTGTGGGGGCTGGAGTTCAGCCCCTGGGCACTCAGCTGGGCTTCTCTGGAGACAGCTGTAAAAAGGCATTAGCCTGCCCCCTTGACAGCCCCTTATTATGTTCCCCACCCAGTGATTAACCCCCATGGTGCCTGGGCCCCCTGGGGTTTGGAGATGAGGATCAGGGTTCCTCAGATCTCACTGGTAAATAGTTGGGGTAAAACTAGAGGCATCTGGCTGTCTGATGAGCTCTGGCCCAGTTTTTGAAAGGTGCTGGTCTTCATTTCTTAATGGTGTTTGTGGGAACTACAGACGGTTCAATGGGTATCTGACACATAATGGCTAGAGCCTGAGGCGCTAGGAGTGGTTCCCTTTATTAATGGCCAGAAAGTCAGGATCACTGAAGAGTCATTGAGGGGCCACTAGGCTGACAGCTATGGGGCCTGGAGAGATGGGGCAGGGTTCTCCACTGGCTTCCAGGATTCAGGGGGCACAGCTGATCCAAGAGGGAGAGGCAATGATCACTGGAGTCACAAGGGTCAGGAGAGGCACCTGGGAGAGGGTGGGATAGTCATAAGCATCCCTCTCTATACCACACCTGGCCAAAACGGGCTCCACCAAGCTCCAGCTTGCACCCCCTAGTGTCCATACCTTTGGGCCCCCAGGACTCACTGAGAGGCTGAGGGAGTGTCAGTCCGTTGGGAAGAAGTCACGGGCTAGGGCTGGGGGTCGTGGCCGGCGTGCAGGGCCTGGGCACTCCAGGGCTGATGCCTTGGCTGGCGTAGTACTCCACCACCTGCCGGGGCACCTCAGCCAGGACGCACTTAGCCAGCGCAGAGGGTGCGGCCTGCAAGGGGGGTCGTGGGCGCGGTTAGGAGTCTGAGTGCAAGGGGCGGGGTCATATGGGCGTGGCTTCGGAACGGCCAGCTGGGCTCCAGCGTCCTTCTCAGGACACCCACTCATTGGGAGAACCGGGTCAGATTTGGGGATATGAGGAGCTGAGGAGCCCTGTTGGGTGAGGGTGTAGGGTCTTACATCCTTGAAGTCCCGGAAGGGCACGAACTGGACGATGTCTCGCGCCGCGGGCACCCCTCGGGGGCAGCGCAAGGGGCCGTCATCACCATCTAGCAGCCGCATGTCGGTGAAGTCGGCATTGCCCACGCCTACGATGATGATGGACATGGGCAGGCGGGAAGCGCGCACGATGGCAGTGCGGGTCTCGGCCATGTCACTCACCACGCCGTCTGTGAGCACCAGCAGCACCGAGTATTTCTGAGGACAGGTGGAGAGAAGGAAGGGTAGGCTCTGTGTGGAAGGGCCTTGGCACCTGCCCCAAGCCCAGGCCCAGGCCCTGGCCCTGGCCTCACTGGAGGACCCCTGGGCAGAACCCGGTTGCCTGCTTCCTCTCCTCACCGTGGCTTGGCCAGTGCTCTGCTCCCGCTGGGCTGGCCCCGCCACGCGGTTGATGATGGGGGCCACGTTGGTGGGGCCATAGAGCTGGATCTGGGGCAGGCATCGACGGTAGGCGGCGATGACCCCTGAGATCTCTGTGGGCAGAAGTGAGGCTGTCAGAGGTTAGCAGAGAGCCCTTCCCGGCACCCCTTAAAGCAAGGAGGTGTCCTGCCCCATCCCCCACTAGTTCCTCAGTAAGTAGGAGGGTTGGATGGTCCAGGCACTGGGGCCATTGGATGCTAGATGCTGGGCCAGGGTCTAGAAGTCTTACCAAAGGAAGACAGGCCCTGGATCGGTAAAGGGGGAGGGAGCTGGGCCTGTGGGAATGCAGTCTGTGTTCTGGCATGGGGTGCAGGGAGTATGCGGTAAGCTGTGTGGAGGGGTGGAGGGCTGGGGGAATTGGGCAGAAGAAGTCAGGCTGCTGGTGGGAACCTTCCCTCTTACCTTCACATTCAGGATTTTCAGGCTCAAAGTTGATAGCAAAGTCATGGGACACCTGTGAGGATAAGGTGAGAACAGCAAGGAGATCGCTCCTTTCTGTCTCACTCCCCCAGTCTCACTCCCCCACCGGCTCGTCCCCTCTCTTGGCACCCAGCCTACCTCGAAGTTGGGAGGGATTCGAGCCCCAAAGCCAAACGCTGGGAACCGCTTATCACTGGGGAGAAGGAAAGGCTGTAGGGCCTACTGGGCAAGGCCTCCCTGCCTGTGTCCCCACCCCTGCCCCCCACCTCTACCTGTCATAGTCTTGGCAGATGCCTCCCACTGCACGCAGGGCCTGCAGGTAGTGGTTGGGCTGGCGCGGGCTGAGGCAGTGTAGGGACTGGCTGCTCCTTGGGTCCCCATTGGAGGCTGTGAAGTCAATGGCCACCTGGTGGTGATGGGAAAAGGGACTTGTTCCATCCTTGAGAGCCAACAAGGAGGCTAGGCCAGAGCTAGAGTCTGTAGGGGACTGAGGTAAATCTGGGCAAGCCCACGGGGAACATCTTCATGGGGGGGGGTGAGGGGGTACAAGGTGACAATGCTAAGGTCATGAGAGTCCTAAGTAGGGCAGAGAGGATTCTGGGCTCCTTCTGTTCACTATGAGCTTAGCCCCCCCTCTTGCCTATGTCCCCACCCCTGGGCCTTTACCGTGAAGCTGATCTGGCAGCCACCCATGATGTAATCCAGGAAGGTGTGTACCTTTTCCACCTGATGGAAGCAGGAGAGGTAAGGTGAAGGGATAGTCCTTTGAGGAGGGAGCTAGGTGGGGCTTGTGGGGGAAGTGGAGGAACTAGAGTTTTTGAGGTTGAAGTTGGCAGTGGTATAGGACAAGGGTTTTCAGTTCCCAGAGGCAAGGGAAGAGCTGAATGTGAGCTTGCAGTGGGGCTCAGGCCTGGGGCAGGGCTGGAGGCCGGCACCGGGATTTACCGTGCACTGGGCCAGCACTATGGTCCCCGAGCTCTTGTAGTTCCTCTTCTTGTCCCGATACTTGGGGTTGATGCAGTCCCACTGCCTCTAGACCCCACATACCCCAAAAGCCCAGGTCACAGTTCCATCAGGAGACCCCTCATTCCCCTTCCAGCAGAGCCACCCAGAGCAAGGCCTCCATGGCCCATTCCTTAGTCTGAGCCTGGGGGCTTTCTGCACTCCGCAACTCCCATCACATACAGTGGCCTCTTCAGTGTCACCCCCAGGATTTTCCCAGGGATCTTGGGGGGGCCTCCTGGGAGGATCTTTGTGACACCTCTTGTCCAGGATTTGCCGTTCCTTCCTGCATCTCCTGGAAGGTGCTGGTGAACTCTCCAATGAAGTCATGTTTCCCACTTGAGTCATAGTCATACACCAGGAACTGTGAAGGCAGGGGGCAGTCAGGGTCAGGGAGGCTCAGCGATGGTTCCTGGGGCAGGGGCAGGGGCTCAGGGAGGTGGGGGCTAACAGTTCCTAGGTCCCGAAAGAGGAACTCAACCTGCTCAGAGAGGCCATCTGCTGTGACTGTGTTCTTTGGCTCAATCTGGCAGGGACTTTGGCTTCTGATAAAAGGTACACATGTAGGGACATTGAACTGTGACCATTTCTTTGCCCCACAGTGGGAAGATCTTATCTCATGGGGGAGGGGGGGCTTGCTACACTCAGGGGGAAGGCCCCAGATACAGGCTGGGTGCTTCAGTAGGCTGCCCTTGCTTGGGGCGAGCTTCACCTTGAGAGGCCGGTGGATGTCACAGCTGCATAGGGAGTGCAGGGACAGGCGGAATGGCTCCCAGCTGGGGTTCAGGTTGTTCTTCACCACCTTGGAGAGGTACCAGAGAGCCAGTCATCTCCTCTCTAGGTTTCCCTACTCTGCTCTTCCTCCCTTTTTTCCCAGACCCCCAGGCACCAACCTCAGTCCTCCAGACCAGCTGCTCACTCTGGTCCTCATTGGTCTTGTAGATCTCCATGAAAGGGTCAGACTTGCTGAACAGATCCTGGGGACATGGGGGGAAAGGCCCATGAGCCTGGTGAGGCGTGCAGGGGGAGATGGCTAACACCGAGGAGGGAGCAGGGCTGCGACCCTGGGGCCTGGGCTCGGGGGTTTCAACCTTGTTGTCCAGCTTGTGGGCTCTGAAGGTGAGCTGCACGTAGTCGTTGGTGCCAGACACCTCCTCAGCCACAATCTGCAAGGGGAGCACAAGTGGCAGGACTCCCCCCTACCCCCCTACCACGAGGGCCACCCTATGCCCTTTCCCTTAAGTGGGAGCCAATCATGGGCATGATGTCACCATGGATGTCCATGCAGGGGCCTTGAATGCCCCGCCCAAGGGTGAGTGCAGGTGACCTTGCCTACCGTGATGGTGGACCTGCCCGCAGGCTTCCCATTCTTCAGCAGCAGTGGCTTAGTGACCTTGGTTTGTGACACAATCTGGGGATGGAGGTGAAGGGAGACCCAGCTGTGATGCCCCACCTGCCTTGGCCAGGGGTAATAAGGGACAGAGGTAGTAAGTGCCAACTGGGCTAGGGTTGGACTTCATTTCTACAGCAGCCTTAAGGTAGGCACTGTGACCCGCTACTGTTTAGATGAGGAAACTAAGACTCTGAGAGGTTAAGCATCCTGCCCAAGGTGACGCAGACAGTGAATGGCGGAGATGGGGCCCGAGCCCAAAACGAAACTGCCTCCAGAGTTCATGCACTCCGTTATTTTGGATTTCAGGGGTGGACGCTGATGGGGGTGGGGCAGGATGGGAATGCAGACCTGGCCCAAGGTGCACTCTGTAGAGCCCAGGAAGGTGTCGTTGCTGGGGCTGGTGGCTCCGTCCTCGGCGTCAAACACGTGGAACTGCAGGGGCTGCTTTTCCTCAAAAAAGTACTCGAGGGCCAGCACCCGGGAGAAGACCGGGCTGGAGCAGGAGCGCAGCACCTCTGTGCGCTCCACCTGTGACGGGGGCGAGGGTCCTCTGGGAACCCAGGTACTTTCCCAGCCCCAGACCACCCGTCATGCCAGCTTTCCTTGGGCTGCACAACCCCTGCGGCTAGCTCTTCCCTCCCTCAACTGAACTCTTGGGCACAGGGGGCTGCCCGCTCACTAGACTGCCAGCCCTCTGGGGCTCTCATAAGGCCCCTGGGAGCAGCACCACTGTCTGTGGGGCCGTCTCAGGACCTGCTGGAATGCTGGGATTTAGATGTTGTGAAAAGGTTTGTGTTTGCAGCGATGGCACACCCTTCTCAAGGTTACCCACACGGCCTGGAAGAGGCCCCTTGGGGTCCTCACATTCCCTTGTGAGGTTTTTGTTGCCCCCACCCAGTCCACTTCCTCCCCAGCCAGGAGGTCAGTGAAGGAAAGACCCCCTCTCACCTCCACCCACTGCTCCTCAGAGTAGAGCTTGAGCAGCACGCAAGGGTGGGGCTTGGTGAGTGTGTCTCGGTCCAACAAGCCGTGGCAGGAGACCCGAAGCTCCACCCGAGAGGCCCCCAGTGTCATGGCTGAGGGCTCAGGCACCCATTCCATCTCAGGGTTCGACATGTCGCTGTGGGGACAGAGCAGACAGTGTGGACACTGGAAAGGGAATGCACGCCAGGGGAGGGAGTCTGTCTTCTGGGAGCCTGGGCCCCACCCTCCCTCACCCTGCTTCCTGACGCCCTGGACCTCAGGGACCTCCTGTTTCCTCTGCCCTCTCTGGGCTTGGCCTCCCCTGGAGCGCTGAGCGGGAGTGGACAGAGGCCTTGAGCCTCCCAGTCCTGCACAGCCCTGCTCTTCTGTCACCCCTTCCGGCCTAGTGTGCATGGATGGGGCTGGGCAGGGCTAGAGGGCAGGGGGTGGGGTTCCTGGCAGCTTTGGCTCCTAGGCCATCGATTGATCCACACTTTTATCCACCTCAGCACCTTCTGCTATTTCCCAGCTGATGTTTGAGCCAGTGCTGCACTCAGTCTTGGCAGGAGGGAGATGAACTGAGGCAAGGGGGTGGGGAAGGGGTGGATCGGCCCCCGGAGGTCTGAAGAGGATGGGTCTCAGGAATGGAGCTGCAGTGGGCAGGAGCAGGCAGGGCGGAAGGTACCCTGGTGGCTGTCCCTGTGTACCTCCCGGCGACTCACCTTCTAGGTGGCTGATGGGGCAGGAGGGGCGGCAGGCTCGGGGAGTTAGAGGCAGAGCCCTGTCCCTGCTGAAAGCTCCTCCAGGTTCCTGGCAGGGGCTCCTCCAGGTTCCTGGCAGGGGCTCCCACTATGACAACTCTCGCTTTCCTCCCCGCCCCCCCCCCCCGCCCCGTTCTCACACTTCTTGGCAGCACTAGCACTGTCTCTTAGCGACGAGATTTTTGGGGAGCTGCGGCCCCCTCCATGCTGTCTGTGGGATGCACGTACGCCACCCTCCCCCAGCAGTGGTACCAAGCCTCGGGCAGCAGCAGGCAGGGGTACGCCGGTCCGAGTTCACGGCCGGTCAGTTCATCTATCTGTGTCTGTCCACGTCTCAGGGTGAGGCTGTCTGATCTTGTGTCCTGCTTCTCCCAGCGAGTGTGCATTTGTGTGTCTGACTGTGCCCACCCTGTGTGTCTGTCCCTTTGTCGTGTGTTTGTCTCCAGGAGGGTGTGACAGCTCCTGTAGGTACCTCCCTCTGAACTGGGACCCCTCTCTGGCTGGGGAGCCCCTCCCCACAGCATGTGACTTTCTGGGTCTGTGAGGGAGGGTCTGGGTTGCCGGGGACTCTGCCTTCCAGCCCCAGTCTCCGGTTCTTGTAGGTCCCCTGAGATGGGCAAGGACGTGCGGTAGTGAGGGGGTCAGGCAGGACCGGAGACTTCTCTGGGGGCTGGGGGAGATGTTGTTACAGAGGCTGGATCAGGCTGGGCTGGGCAGGGCAGGGCTGGGCTAGGGAGGAAGGGGAGGCTCACCTGGGCTCTAGCTGCGGGGGTCCTCTCTCTGGTTCTGGCCCTGGCCCCGACTCCCTTGCTGCTCCAGCCGCTGGCGCCAGCTCCGGCTCTAGCTCTGCTGCTATTTATGGGGCCTGGATGGGGAGGGGGGGCGGCAGCACCAGCTCCCCCCACCCCCTGCAGAGAACAGTTGGGAGGGAGAGGAGGGAAGGGGCAGGGCCACTGTCTGGGAGGGAGCCATCGAACTGGGGGAGGAGGATGGGCTGGGGGTGGCTCAGAGGCAGGACCCCCACAGACACAGTGACACACATCTTCCCCTTCACACCACACCCACGCCCAGCATCGCAGAGATGCACACGCCGTGGCTGTGCATGCGCGCACACACATTCATACTGGGGACGACGGAGACACGCACCCACGATTCACAGGCTCACACATATCTTGACACGCACAGACGCCAACACATAAACTCTCCGTGACACCACGACAGTTATAGCCCTAAGATATACACAGGGAAGCACGCCCCGCCTCACAACACTCCCCACATCATTCTAGTTAAGGATATCTGCACATATACAAGAACACTGGGCTGTACTTGTCACACACACACACATATACACTCGTTCACACCAACCCAAATACAACAGAATGGAGATCTTCACATGCTCCTGAAAAACTGTGCTGAACCTCACGGCTCCCAGAATGAGGTTCTGTGTCCCAGGCACCTTTGAGCAGGGGGACACAAGGACGTGGACACAATTGCTTAGGGGCACAGTCTCACATCCTGGTCACACAACCAACTCCCTGAAGATGGGGCTGCTCAGCGGGGAAATCTGCTTAAGGACTGATTCTGGAGGCATCTTCGCGGTGCCCACAATTCACCCTCTGCCCCGAGATTCCTTGTGGGAGGGGCCAAGCCATGCACAGATCTGGGGAAACAAGACATTCGTCATTCCCTAGTGAGACCAGGGGAAGCGAGCCATTGCTTGGGAGCTGCATGCACCATGTGAAGACATTTAGGTACACGGTGATCTGGGATGAGTGCTCGAGAAGGTTCGTCAGAACATCTTCACCCTCCGTGCCCTAAGCGGCTCATGTATTAAGGTAGCAGCCATTTATCAAGCAGCTCCTGGGTGCCAGGCACTGTGCCCGGGGCTGGGGCTGTCCAGGTGATTGAGACGGCTCCTGCTCCCCGGGAGGTGTGTGAGGATAGAACAGGCCCACAGGCAGAGATGGTGAACCAGTACACAAGGGGGATAAGTGTGTCGGGGACAAAGGATGCAGTGGGCCACAGAGAGGGAGGGTTCAATTCAGATGAGTCAGGGTGAGGCACCAGGAAGGGCTTCATGGAGGAAGAGGCTCTTGAATGCTGAGCTAGTATTTGGTGGTACACCCACGGGAAACAATTAATTTAATCGTTGATCTTCTCACACTGCAGACACTTCTGTTCACCTTCAGGCCACTTTACTAGTGAGATTTCTGACTACTGATGGTGCCCCCAGGATGGCACACCATATAATCCCGCCATCAGTGAGCCTGCCTCTGTGTGAACACACACACAGCTCCCCAGTCTCCTCCTGGTACCCTGGAGTCAGCCTTCCAGTCCCACCACACCCCGAAAAGCCGGAGAGACACACACGGGCGTCAGTTTCTGTCATATTGGCTCCTGCAGCCAGCTCAGCTCAGATCCCATACATGACACCCACCCGGGCTTGGCGACCTCCCACCTGTCCCTCACTCCCTGGTCTTTCCCTATCTGCTCAGAGCCCCAGCCCCAACCCTGTGAGGTATCCCTCACTTTTCCCCACTGAGACCAGGCACTGGAGGGGACCAAGATGGTGGGGTGTGGGGCCAGTAAATGGGGGAAGATGGCAAAGAGGCAAGGCGGGCAGTGATTTTGATTTTTATTCTATACAAGTGGGGAGAGAGCCCCTGGGGATAGAGGGACAGATCTGCCCTCCAGGGAGGGAGCTGGCCCCCACCCCAGGCGCTCTGCCGCTCTGCCCTGTGGAGGGAGCAGGCATTCAGAGCCTCCCTCTCTCCAGGTTGCTCCCACCCTTCCTGTCCCGTGCACCTCGTCCTGCCACCCTGCCCTTGTGGGCTGGGCTGGCAGAGGGGCCTGGAGGTTGAGGGCGGGGGAGGGTCAGTCCGTGTGAGGCACATGTCGAGAGGAGGGCTGGGGAGGCTGCTGCAGCGGCTCTCAGTCTGTTCCTGGCTCGCTGGCTCCTATGGGGAACAAATCCAGGGAGCCCTGTTTCCTGGGCCGGGAGAGCCAGCCGCCCAGTTTGGGGTGTGGGGTGCGCCATGTTGGACAGATGGGCGGGAAGGGGGACTGCCCTCTCGCCCACTCCGCTGGCACCTGTGGGGTCAGGGGGCCGTCTTCTATCAGGCTCCAGCTTGTCACAGGACTGTGCCCGCCGTGTCCTCTTGGGCTTCAGGGGCGCAGTCCGGCGGCCGGGGTCCAGGGGCCCTGGAATGAATCAGGGAGGTCTGGTCTACGCAGAGGGCTCACAGGCTGGACGCTCATCCAGGCTGGGACTCATTCTGTCCTTGGGGCAGGGACCGCTGAGGGTGGCAGGGTCCCAGAGCCTCCCCCCCGCCCCCCGCCCCACCCAGGTCCCCTCCAGCCAGGCGGCAGACCTTGGACCTCGGTATCCTCTTGGTCGTGCTGGGAGCCCAGCCGCAGCCGGGCCTTGTTCACCCCAGGGGCTGTGCCCCCAGGCTCAGCCTCTTCCCTGCCCCCTGGCTCCTGGGGGGGATGGCGGCCCCTGGGCACAGCCGCTGGCTTGGGGGGCCGAGGAGCTAAAGGGGGGTCCTGCAGCTGGCAGAAGAAGGAAGACGCTGGGTCAGTTAGTTAGTCCTTTTGCCTCATTAAAGTGCCTTCCCCACCCACCTTGCCAGCCCTCACCTTAGCATTCCGAGCAGGAACGGTCCTCTCAGGGAATAGGGCCCCCTCCTTCTCCTCCTTGCCATCTTGGGAGGCTGGACTGGGGCTTTGGCAGCTGTGGTTGAGGGCACTCTCCTCAGCTAGGGGATGGGGAGAAGAGAAACTGCAGAAACAGGCATTCTTGCCCCCCACCCTCACCCGACCCTGTCCCCTGTGTCTTTGAAGCCCTGGAGGCCAGGACCTCCCCTCGAAAACCTATTTGCTCCTAAGCCCCTGCCTCAAATGTTCCCTTCCTCTCATATTTCCTTAGTCTGTGGTCCCCAGCATGGTCCTGAGCCCGTCACCTTCTGGAGGGGGCTCTGTCCTGGCTGTGCCTCTGGAAGAGCAGGGCCTGACATCTTTCCTGTGGGGGTAGGGCCAGAGCCTGGGGCTGTCTGGGTGCACGGGTGTGGCTGACCATCCAGAGCTGCAGTGCCCCTGGGCTCTGCCAAGGCTGCAGCCTGGCACTCCCAGGACTTCGCCTGCCAGTCTGATTTAGATGAGAGAGCTTCCAGGAGAGGTGCCTTGGAGCCCCCACCTCCCGCCTCTGGGGTTTTATGCAAATTGAGCCTGTGGGTAATCCACTGGGAAGGTGGTGTCTGCGTGTGTATCTGCGACATGAGCAAGAGGGACCTGCAGGGTGCGGGCGGTGGTGTGTGCGCAGTGGAACATCTGACTCTTGTGGTCTCCTCGATGGAGGACGGAGCCCCACTTCGGGTGTTTAGTTTGTGTGGAGGCTGAGAAGCCAGCAAAGATGCTCCCAGGACTGGTGGGGCCTTGGAGGATGGGTGGGAGCACAGGCATTGCCAAGCCAAGGGACAGCCTGCCTGGCTCTGTGCCGTGCTCCTGTGCCCCAGCCTCGGGGTGGGAGAGGAGGGCGGTTACGGAGTGGCTACATCTACAGGGGGATTTGGCCATGTCAGTATCGTTGAAGGGTCATATTCCAGGCCTGGGGGAATATAGCTTGACGCCGAGCTCTCCTTTCGAGGCCCTGTAAGTGAAAGGTGCCCTGAACCCAGCAGAAGGGAGTGTCATACCATGAACCCTTGCCTTTATTCCTTCAGAGTGTCAAAGCCAGAAGGTAAATGACCTGCATAAGGTCTGTACTGCTGGTGCCGGCTGAGACGGGGCTAACACCCAGGGTTTCGGGCCTCCAGGGCAGGAACCTTGCCCCTTCCTTGTGGCACCTTTCTGTGTGAACTGAGGGTGGCCTGGCAAGCTGTGTTTGGAGGAGACTGGTATGTCTGAGGTGGGCCTGGCGTGACAAGGACTTGCCCACTCTCTTCCCAGCTGAGGGTCAGAGAGAGGGCTTCTTCATAGCGGGCGCCACTCTGCCGACAGGACCAGATGTGGCCCCTGCCCTAGAGAATTATCTGGAATCACCCATAAAGTGTTGCCATGTTCTAACAATCCCGGCAAAGCCACTTTTATTCTGTAGGGGCTTTCTCTGGATCGGGCTGTCTCTTCTGGTTAGAGCTTTGTAAATATCCTTAAACCCTTTCACTGTGTTGACTTCCCACTGCCCCACCTCGGCCAGAAAATTCCCAGATGCAGGGGTCATGGCCTGTCTGTGTGGACATACCCTGGGCCTTCAGTGCTGCTGCCTGAGCAGAGGTGTTCCATACCTATGTGCCACGTGGCCTCTGCGCGGCGCATGGCGCTGAAGCTTGGCTTGCTGCTCTGGGGCGGTGGGGGCGGTTTCCAGGCTCCAGGCCCTGGAGCGGAGGGAGGGGATGGGCAAAGGGGACCCAGGAAGGCAAATTAGGGGGGGGCCCTGAGAGAGGGGTCAAAGGAAGGGAGGGTGACCATTCTCACCTGCATCATCCGAAGAGCGCCGTCTCTGCCAAGCCTGGACACTGCCCTCCAGGTCTGGGCCTGTGCCCTGGAAGGACAGCTGAGTCAGTCGTCAGAAAAGGACCCTCCAGCTGGGGGCTGCAGTTGGCAAGGGGCTTCCACTCTGGTATTTCCTGTCATTAGTGCCTAGATGCTTGGGCCATTTTTTTCCCAAAGATGGCACCCAGACCACCCTGGGGGCATGAGAAATGGCTCCCATGAATGAAAATACTGTTATTTTTAATAGTTACATGTTTATTTTATGTGTACAAGAAAACATGACTGGTTTTAAAGATAATGCACAGGTCCAGACTAAGTTATAAAAGGTGAGTTGAATTAAAATATTATGTAAATAATTATAC